GTTCTCGACCACTGAGGGGGGGAAGTTGCGGTCCTTGAAAACGAGGACATCTGAGATGTACAGGAGTGGAATGCCTCATCCTGGGAGCAGATGCGGCGGAGGCGAAGGAATTGGGAATAGGGGATGGCATTTTTGCAGGAAGGTGGGTAGGAGGAGGTGTATTCTAGGTAGCTGTGGGAGTCGGTGGGCTTTGTAGGTTATGTGGAACAATCCCTCTTCCGTACCTACACTGGCCCTAAGCCCTACCTCTTCCTCCGTTACATTGATGACTGTATCGGCGCCACCTCGTGCTCCCATGAGGAGCTCGAACAGTTCATCCACTTCACCAACACCTTCCACCCCAACCTTAAGTTCACCTGGACCATGTCGAATACCTCTCTCTCCTTCCTGGACCTGTCTGTCTCCATCTCTGGAAACCACCGAGAAACCGATATCCATTTCAAGCCCACCGACTCCCACAGCTACCTAGAATACACCTCTTCCCACCCACCTTCCTGCAAAAATGCCATCCCCTATTCCCAATTCCTTCGCCTCTGCCGCATCTGCTCCCAGGATGAGGCATTCCACTCCCGTACATCTCAGATGTCCTAGTTTTTCAAGAACCGCAATTTCCCCCCCTCAGTGGTCAAGAATGCCCTTGACCGTGTCTCCCGCATGTCCCGCAACTCATCCCTCACACCCCGTCCCCGCAATAACAACCAAAAAAGAATCCCCCTCATTCTCACGTACCACCCCACCAAACTCCGGATCCAACGCATCATCCTCCGACACTTCCGCCATTTGCAATCTGACCCCACCACCAAAGACATTTTTCCCTCCCCACTCTTTTCTGCTTTCTGGAGGGACCACTCTCTCCGTGACTCCCTTCTCCACACTCCCCTCCAGCCCCACCACACCCGGCACTTTTCCCTGCAAACGCAGGAAGTGCTACACCTGCCCCTACACCTCCCCCCTCACCCCCATCCCAGGCCCCAAGAAGACTTTCCACATCAAGCAGATGTTCACCTGCACATCTGCTGATGTGGTATACTGCATCCGCTGTTCCCGTTGTGGCCTCCTCTACATCGGGGAAACCAAGCAGAGGCTTGGGGACTGTTTTGCAGAAAACGTACGCTCGGTTCGCACTAAACAACTGCACCTCCCAGTTGCGAACCATTTCAACTCCCCCTCCCATTCCTCAGACAACATGTCCATCCTGGGCCTCCTGCAGTGCCACAACGATGCCATTCCCTTGACCTGTCCGTCCTCCCTGGACTGACCTATCTCCTCCCTACCTCCCCACCTACACTCACCTTTACTGGCTCCATCCCCGCCTCTTTGACCTGTCTGTCTCCTCTCCACCTATCTTCTCCTCTATCTGCCTCCCCCTCTCTCCCTGTTTATTTCAGAACCCCTTTCCCCTCCCCCATTTCTGAAGAAGGGTCGAGTCCCGAAACGTCAGCCTTCCTGCTCCTATGCTGCTGCTTGGCCTGCTGTGTTCATCCAGCTCTACACCGTGTTATCTCAGATTCTCCAGCATCTGCAGTTCCTCCTGTCTCTAGAAATAGGGAGGTCTTGCTAAAACTATACAAGGCACCAGTCAGACCACAGCTGAAATACTGTGAACAATTTTGGGCCTCCCTATCCATGGAAAGGTATACTGACAATAGAGGTAGCCTACAGAAGATTCATTCGGTTTATTCCATATGTGGGGTGTTGTATGATGAGAGGTAGAGTAGGATGGGCTTGTACTCAATGAAGTTTAGAAGAATGAGAGGAAACCTTATTAAAACATAGAAGATTATTGGGGGAGGGGGTTGACAGGATAGATATACAGAGATTCTTTCCCCTTGTAGGACAGACTGGGACCACAGCGAGTAATCTCAGAGTCACCCATTGAAGACAGGTGAGGATTTTTTTCTGTTAGGTGGTGGTGAATCTGTGGATTTTTTGTTACCATAGAGGTCTATCAAGGTTGGGTTGTTAAGTATACTCAAGGCTGAGATAAGCAGATTTCTAATAATGAAGGGAATCAAGGATTATGGGGATAAGGCTAGAAAAGTGGAATTGAGGATCATCAGATCAGCCATGATGTAGTTGAATGGCAGAGTAAGCAAGCTATTGGGACTGAAGGCAGACAAGTCCCCAGGGCCGGTTGGCCTATATTCTAGGTTCTTAATGATTAATTTGCTAGAGTTCTTCAAGAATGTAACAAGTGGATGATGGTTCCTGTAAATGTAGTATATGTGGACCTCCAGAAGTTATTTAATAAGGTGCTGCATTAAAGCTTGATATGCAAAGTAAGATCACATGGGGTTAGCTGTAACTTACTAGCTTGGAAAGATGATTGACTAACCAACAAGTAGCACAGAATCAGAGTAAATAGGTCTTTTTTTTGGTTGGCAAGATTTAATTAATGGAGCCCCAACTATTTAAAATCTATATAAGTGACTTGGATGGAGTGATAGAAGGTACTGTAACCAAATTAGCAGATGACACTAATGTGGATAGGAAAGTATGTTGCAATAAAGAAATAAGAAATTTACAAAATGAAGATGCAAAAATAATTGACCCTGTGAATAAATAAAAAAAAACTTGGCTGTACTAAATTATAATGCTATATTCCAGCAATATTTAAAGACATAATTGGCTATGGCACATGTAATGGAGTGTGAGCACAATTAATGTGAAAGTGACAGAACATACAATAATTTGCTTTTATGGTGCCTTTAACATAGTACAATGTACCAGTGTGCTTCAGAGAAAGAATGCAAAATAGAGCTTAAAGAGAAAAAGGAAACTGAAAATAAGATGCAAATAACACTCACTTAACATTATTAGATTTCAAAATGGACAGCAATTTCTATCAACTGCACATAAATGTGTCACTCAGGAAGTACCTATTAAGTGCACTGCTCAAGATTGCACAAGAATGGAATCTTGCCGAGAGATTATATCAAAGTCTCATATGAATGGTATAAGGTTGGTGTACTAATGCAGTTTATAAAACAGAAAAGTTGCCAGAAACAAAAATCATGTTCATTCCTAAAATAAGACATGAAATGCAATTAAAAATTAAGTACTGCTAAACAACCCTCTATCACTATAAATTAATTTTAACAAGTTTGGACTCTGAGCCAATCAAGTTATTGTAGGATTTCAAAAACAATTGTACAAAACTTTATCTTTCTTTCCTAACCTAGTCTTCTCTCCATTTCACTTTCTGAAACTTATTTGACATAATTAAATATTCTGACTGATGTTCCTGGTTTGGATTCTGCACTGCTTAATAATGATTCTTCAACCTGATTAATTGAGGAAGCACATGGTGTCTTATCCTGTTCACAAGTCTCAGCTACCCTTCATTTTTTTGATAGTTTGTTCTAAACTGAACTGCTCAATGCAACAAACTTGCCTGCTAACTGCAAAACTCAGGCATCATGTTTAGAGAAGTACTAAGGCAACAAGAGAAGCACTAACTAAAAACTGATTAGTTTAAAACTCTTAACGATTCTGGAAATGTTCAGCAGGCTAGGCAGTGTTACTATTCCAGGTCAATACCCTCTGGTCAGAGCTTTGTTCACATTGTCAGCATTTGGCTAGAACTGTCATCGACCTGAAGTGTTAACTGCTTCTCTCCAGGGATAATGTCTGATTTGGAAAATAATTGCATTTATATAGAACCTTTCACAACCATAGGATGATCCAAAGCATTTTCAACAGCAACAAATTTGCCAAGAGCAAGCAATGTGGTAATAAACAGAATTTGCTTTTGTAATGTTGACCAACTAAAAATTAGCCGGAATGGTGGAAATAACTCCTTTGCTTTGCTTCGATATGATATCACATCACAGTAGATCTTTCGCATCCACATGGGTTTAAGGTCACATTGCATCACCAATACCTTCAAAAACACACTACTTGTGTGCTGCACTGAGGTTTGTGTTCAGATCTTCAATCTACAACCTTGTGACTCAAAAGATTACCAACAGCTGACTTGATGAGTATTTTAGGCATCTTCTGCGTTAACTTCTGATTACCAGCTGATTTCATCTTGTTTCTCTGCTGTCTTGTTACCTCATCTTTTTATTCTCTGGCACCAATTATGTTACTTAATTTCTTAAATATTTGACCTTCATTAGACCTTTCCCTTCCACCCCATCCCCGTCCAGGTACTTAAACTCTATTATAACTTTCCCAGTTCTAATGAAAGGTTTCATGAAATATTAACTGGTTGTCTCCACTGCTGTCTTTGACCTCATGAAAAAATATGCATGCCCAGTGTTCTGTTTTAAAGTTTTAGTTTCACAGATGATATACATGTTTGCGTTGAGGCAACTACAATCTTTGCAGCTTCCAGTTATCAAGCTACAAATGGAAGCCACGAGTATGATCAAGATGTCATGTATTCCTAAAGCAATACTAAAGAATGGAGGATTTATAATCATTTATTCGCAAGCACTATTTGTAGAGTCCTTCCTTCACAGCTGTTATAAAGTCTATTTCGTTATTTTCAACGAGGAATATTTTTTCCTTGAAAATTGATTTTTACCGAAACCAATATCACGTGATGCAACCAGCTCGTAGCGCCATCGTGTGGAACGCAGAGGACGGTTAGTTTTGAATATTAGTGATTGATAGCTGGACTGGGGCGGTTCACGTCTGTGATTACAAGATGTAGAGCTGGATGAACACAGCAGGCCAAGCAGCATCAGGGGAGCAGGAAGGCTGACGTTTCGGGCCGAGACCCTTCTTCAGAAACAATCACGTCTGTGATTGACAGGGGGCGTGGGGCAGTTCACGTCTGTGATTGACAGGGGGCTTGGGGCGGCTCACATCTGATTGACAGCGAAAATGAGGTGGTTCACGTCTGATTGACAGGGGGTGTGGGGCGGTTCACGTTTGTGATTGACAGCGGAAATGGGGCGGTTCACGTCTGTGATTGACAGC